ATGGGAGCTGACAGAGTGTTGTGGTGATTTTCTTCACTCTACCTTAGAAATATAGCCCTTTGAAATTAGTAGGTGCTAGGCATTCTTCTCATTCCTGCTCAGCTTGAGTATGTTTGTTCCACTGAATAGATGAATTAGATTAGCAGAAGGGCAGATTGGTCTCTGGTGTTTGGGCATTGCCACAAGGCAGACAGTGGGATGGCAGAGGAATGAGTGCAGTTCTCATTCCTGACAGGAGAGGATGCCTTGCTGTTTCCCACTGGTATCCATTTAGCCTTCTTGGGTGCTCTAAGGAGACACTGCCTGTTAGATATCCTGGAATTCCATCTTTCCCCTGGCCTGTCTACCTTTCAGAGGCACGTGATGAGTGTCTTCTGATACTAAGCCACGTGAACTTGGATGTGCAAATTGTATGATCAGAGCAGCGTGCTGTCCTGGATTACAGGATGTGACAAAAAAGGTAAAATGGTTCTGAAGTAGTGTTTCTAGTCCAATACAAGTGAGAATGGATATGTTCCTTGTACTCAGTTAAGTGCTGATGAGGCAAAATGTCACAATTACTTCATTTTTTTATATGGGGATGTATTTTACAGCATTTTTTGTGGTGTACTGAGACACCTGAGAAGCTCTAGATGAAAATGCTATTTTGCTTTTTATATTTCTACATTCTAGAGCAAAGTCCATTTTTAATTCATCTGTACAAGACAGCTGGAGAATTTTACAAGGGATCTTCATCCACTTTTTCCATATTGTGGAAGATGTCATTTGTGATGCCAGTTGCATTGTTAGGATTTTTAAGTATTTGTAAGGAAGATTTTACTTACAATCCATCTCCTGAAAAAGTTCTGAGATTCTCTAAGAACAAATGAATAGAATAAAAGTAGGTTACATCTATTTTAGATGTCTCTGGAAAATTGTCTCAAATAACAAAGTTTTTCTTTTCCCACTTTGTGCTACTGAAATGAGTTGTTTAATTAAATTCAAGCACCACAGGTGTCATGAGGCATTTCAAGTTGAAAGGAGTGGTGCTTCTATTTGAGTGTTATTGAATGAAGCGGTTAAAACAAGCACCAAAATGCTTTAATAGACTAACTTCCCTTCTGGGAAGCTTGTTGATCCTATCTTTTTCACTAATATGGATTACAGTGGCTTAACTTTAATTCACACCAATTTTGGAAGCAATTTTCAGATAGCTTTGATTTATAGGGGAGAATTTCATTCTGAATAGTAACTATTAATAACAAAGATAATTAGATGTTTCATTTTTTTTTTTTTTCTGAGAGGAGAAGCAACTCTTAAGGTCAGATATTAAGGAAAACCACATGATGGCTTTGTTAGTAAAATTGATCCCATGCTGCAAGAAATCTTTCAAAAGCAGTAATTGCAGTTTATATGAATGATGCAACTGTGCTCTTCAAGCTATGGTGTACTTCAAGCAGTGTGAAAGTTCTCACGGAGTACCTTTGGGGTAAAGATGTGTTGCTTTTATTTTTTATTTTCTAAATATTGAACATGTGCAGCATTACATGAAAAAGTAGTGCCTAAATTCAGACATAAAGAATCTTGTCCTAGTTTGTCATTATTATTAAGGAGGTTTCTTGACTTAAGGGAGAGGAGTCTGCCTCAGCCATAAAAATACTGTTTTTTTTTTTTTAATGGGTAAGCTACTACACTAAACTGGCATAAGTTTTGAGGTGCTTTTCCCATTGAGGAGTTCACTGTTCAGAAGGAGAGGATTTTCAGGCAGAGTGCTGCTGGCATTAGTTGAGAGAGTTCAGTGCAAATAGTGCAGAATCCTTGCTGGAAGTGCCATCTCATGAATGTACTTCTGTTCAAGCCTATGTGCACTTGAAAACTTGCATCATCCATGATGAGATTACTTTATAAAGAACTGTTTGGTTTAAGGCTATCAAGCAGGCTTCTTACTCTGTGGAGATGGCAGTTTGGTCCCACTGACTGTGAAGCAGTGCAGCAGATTTCTGTACAGTGGTATTTTTCACACTGGGGTTTTTAGTTTCAGCGCTGTTAGAACATCAGAATTGCATTATGGAATGAAAGTACTCATTTTACATCATTACATCTGTGGTATTAACCTGATTATAATTCACCTTTCTTCAGTTTGATATATGCCAATGGAGCTACCTAACCGGGGAGCTAGAGAAAAATATAAACCACAGCTGTACAGGTATAGCAACATTTTTGTAGGCTTTGTGATACATGCGCACCTGCAAGCTTAGGTGTAAGAGGATTCATGCTGCAGGAGTTTCTAGGTCCACTAGAAGGACGCTGCTGTATCAGGTAATTGTGTTCATAGGATTTATCTGCCTTATCTGTGGGGAGAAAGAGAAGGGAGGAGGAGCCTAATATATATTAAGTAAATTCATTTTCTGCAGGTTAACTTAGTTGATAATGTTGACATCTAAAGGTTGGTGTTTTTAAAGATAAAAAGGATTTAAGGTTAGATAACTGCTTGTGGTCTTCTGAATTTTTTTTTCTAGATTACCTTAGTACCAAGGAGGAAGAAATGATCTGTGAAATTTGATGCTGTGTTAAATCAGTTGAGCTTAGGAATGATAAATGTGTGCAGTGTTTTGCATTGTTAACTTTTAAAAATGTCTATATTGGTTAGTAACAAAAAGATGTGGTTGTTTTTTTTCCCCTCCCTTTTCTCTCCTGTTTTCAGAAGGCTTTGAAAGTTCCATGTCCCATCTTTTGACATTCTGGAGGAATCACACAAAATGTTCCCTGCACTCTCACCCGGTTGCACATCATTGTGAATGGCTCTCCTTGGTTTTTATAGAGCAAGACGATGACATGTGGGAAGCTGCAAAAGCTTTATTACTCATTTATTTAAAAATTGATAGGTTGGTATGCTTTTTATTTGACTGAACTATGAATGATAACGTAATGAGGTTGTTGTGATACACATAATGCTTTCATTGATTACTTTTATAGAAAGGATGAATATTTTTAATAAGCTCTGGATTATGCGGTAATGGACGGTGTAAGAGCTGTTAACTTTTCTGATAATTTAGTTGTGTTTTTTTCATTGAAATGAAGGAGTTGTGCAACAAATTCCTATTAATACCAAAGCATATCCTGTAATTAAGAATAATTGACTTCACATTCTAAGTAGTGGTTAACTAGAGATAAAAGGCAAAGCTGCTCTCTTTCTACACATGTGAAGAATGCAATCTGGTAATCAAGTTTCAAGAACTTAGGGACCTCTGGCAAAGTAGTGCTCTCACATTTGGACCCATGTAAATTCTGTCACTACTAACATCAGAAATGATTTTTTTGTGAATTTCCCCTGGGTGTTCACTGCTTCATTGTTCAAGTTAACATACAAGAGTGTATACTAACTTATAAAATATTTTTCAAGCTTCAAATGCAAGGACATTGCGAGTAGTGTCTTAGATACATAAAATAACTTTTAGGCTCTTTTTCCAGTGTGGTGGATGTTCAAGTTTACGAAAGTAATACAAAAGTATTACAGAGAACTGTTCACATATTTTAAGTATTGCTGCTTCTAGAATTAAGGACATGCTGTTAAAGAAAACCTGCTTTAGGTGCTTTGGCTTCCCAAACTGATCTACCACCCACCTGTGTTCATTCTCTAATATGAAAACTGCTTCTTTTCCTGATATTTACATCTTGACAGTCTGACTCTGGGATGTTGGAATTCAAAATACTGCATACTGTAAAACAGATTTCAAACCCATCTTGCATAGAAAGCTCATCCAACAAAACAAGTTTCTTTGCTGGGAATCCTGTAGGTGCTTTTTTTTTTTTTTTGCTGATTTTTTTATTTTTTTTTTTCCCCAGAATTTTATTGAAAATATTTTCCTGGAAATCTAATCACTGTAAAACTTGTAGGGCCTAGCATGTGTGCATTTATTGTCTGTTAGAGAACATCAGGAAAGATCAAGAATAAAATTTTCAGGAAATGTCTGTTCTTAACTGTAGAATTCCACTGAATTTAATCCATTTCACAATTTACTTTTCAGGTTATGGTGTGATGCTGCAGATAATTTAAGTTGGGAAGAGGAGGAAAGCTGGGACTTCCATGCACATGCAAATGGTTATAATCCTCACTGCATATTTTTATTTTTTCTAGAAAAAATCTCTTTTGATTCCACAGTACTTCTAGATTTTTTGATTTCATCCGAAACTTGCTTTCTGGAGTACTTGGTGAGGTACTTGAAACTTCTTCGAGAAGACTGGCATCGGTTTGTAAACATTTGTAACCATTTTGATACCAAGTGTGGTTCTTCTCAAGCAATGTCTTCTATCAAGCCTGGACACCAAGAAAAACAAAGCTGCATGGCTGGCGTGAGCTTGCAAAATGCTTGTTGTGAACCAGAATCACAGACTTTGATACCTTTGGCTTCTTCTCACAATTACTTAGTGTTTACAACAGAGCAAGGTGATAATGAAGTTGCAGAGTCTAACCAGTCTAACTCATTGCTATGCGATGATAATACATCTCTGCTGGGTTCTCTTCAAAGACTTGTTAATTATGACAGCTCAGAAGATTCTGAATTAGAATCAGTTGGAGAAGAGTGCTTAGTAAACACAAAGCAGATGCCTTTACATAAGGAGTGTGAGACAATGATAAGGGAAGCTGTTTGCAGCTACACAGATGATAAACAGAATAAACTCGAGTCTGAAGTGTTGCCTCTGAAACAAAAGGAATCTAATACCTCATCCAGTCTGGCATGTATATTGTCTTCAGATAACATCGTTCCTCTAAGAATAATGCTTTATAAATCAACAAAGTGTTTGGAAGAACTGCAAAAAGCAATTTCTAGATTGCAGGGAAGAAATCTTTTCCCTTATAATCCATCTGCGCTGTTGAGACTACTGAGTCACATTGAGAAGATTAGTAAGAACATGAGTTCACAATAAATCAAAGTAGTATTCTTGTGACTTCTGACTAGTGCACTAGAAATGAATGACTTCTAAGGCCTTTTGCACCTATCAGTGTATTAAAACTGGATGAACGTGGTTTTGGTTGACACTGTAAAAAGTCTGCAGTTGTGCTCAATGACGTGATCCGTTACCTCAGGGTCTCAGGCTTATTTGTGGTATGTATGTCATGCACTGTATATCAGTAGTAATTGCTAGGAATGCAAAAACTGCTAATAAATAACTTATCTGAAAGAATTTCAACAACATACAATATTTAGAGTCTTGTCAGTTATACTTAACATCATTCTAATGTAGCAATTTAGTAGTGATTGCCAGATTGGTGGTGATTGTGGACTCTAAGCAGTTAAGAGGTTAAGTGGAATAAAATATTACAGCTGGGGACTGACTTAATGTTCATACTGTGTGTGTTGAATCAGTGCTCTGCTCCAAGTGAACGTGTGGGGGTACTACCAGTATCCCAGTAATCCATGCCATCTGTTTTCCTTGGTTGAAGTGCTTACCTAGTGCTGAGGAAGTCCTGTTTACTTGATCTAATCAATGATGTTGCCACCTCAGTAAAAATTGAATCTATTTTTTCTTAATATTGCATGGTATGCTCCTTTTATGAAGGAAAGTTTTGCATGGTACTAATGCATGTTTTACTTATTTACAGAACTTTTGTTGGAACATTATGTTTAAAATCAAGAGAAATGAAATTCCAACAAATTCTTACTTCCTTTACACACTTCATGTAAGTATCAAATATATCTGCAAAGTAGAGAATTATAAATTTAAATATCTGCAGTGCAATGAGGTGGATGTTGAATGTAATCTTAAATGCTTGCATCTCTTATTACATCTAATTTGAATAACCTGAAAAGTAAGTGTCTAAGACTCTGCTAGGGAAAGTTCAGAACAGCATCCAAACCAGTGTGTGCACCAAATAGGAAGCCACCTAATGTTGGTAAACTTAACATGCAGCTTGTAATGATCTTAGGAGGGTTAGGCAATGAGAAAATACCAGTGACAGAGTACTGTAAATCCCACACCTTATCACCTCTGAAAGAAGCTGTTTTCCTCTTGGGATCATCTCTTGAAGGCAAGTGGTCTATTCTGTTTGAGGACCAGGTAAGTTGTCTCTTTCTCCTTTACAGGAACTCTGTAGTGAAAAATAGATGTGAAGATAAACAGTTTCTGAAACAGGTGACTCTGGCCACCAAACTGCTGTGGCCATCTTCCAGATTAGTCTTGAGCTCTCAGACAGTGAATCAACTATGTACTGAGAGTGGGGGAAGAGTGCATTGAAGTTCATAGTCTATCTAGATGGAGATAACAGTGCTCTCCAGAGACATTGAATGGTATGAATTCTTTCAGACAGGCAGACGTGAACTTCGCTCTTCTTTGAGATTTGACTGCTCTGTCATCTCAAAGTGAAAGTTGTACAGGCAATACAAAATCATATGACATGTAGTAGACCTGAATATTCTGTGCTTACATTGGGGAATAAGAATGTCTGATCGGAAAAATTCAATTTGTTTATAGTCACTTGAATTAAAAACTAATGTTTGAGTTGTCTGACCAGAGGAATGCCCAGTTTCTGTTCAATGTTTAAATGCAGTTACACTCTAGGTGCTGAGTTGTTCACTTCTGTCAGGACTGGAAGCCTGTGGGCATGTTCAAAGATGCAGTGCTAGACAACTAGAGAACTTTTCAGTTCAGACAGGGAAAGTGCCTTTGGCGAGACAGTTGAACAAGGATTTCTCAAGTTCTCAATTTTCAATGTAGGTACTTAGGTTTCAGTGAAATCCTTTCTACTGTCCCCTCTTCTCATCTGAGCTTTGCTGACTAGTTTGTTTTACGTAAGTAACCTCACTGTTTCACTGAACTACTTTACAAGTTGGAAATAATCCAGATTGCAACCATATTTCTCACACCTTAATGATATAAATGGCAAAAGAAAGGTAGGAAAACAGGAATTTGCTGCATTTGTAAATGTACTAGCTACCTAGTGTTTTATACCTTAATCTTTTACTGTTTATGACCTATAGGAACTGAGATGAAGTAAAACTGACAAGGGTCAAGTTTTTCTTTCTTTATTTTGCACAAAATGAGTGTGAGCAGTGCAGTAACTTGTAGCTTTATGGGTGTATTCAGAAAGTCTAGCACGAGGAAAAGACCTTAGTAAATTAGTTTGTATTTCAATCCATTAAGTATATATTATGGGCTTTGATTTTGGTTTATTTTTGAATCTTTACTCTGAAGATTTTATACAGAGCAAATTAACTCAGCTACAGAACCTATTGCCAGTGTTAGATTAGAACTTTTGAACTAAGTCAGTAGTATTGTTATTAGGAGGATAACATGCCTTGCATTTGGCTATTGATATCTAAACATTTTCTTCTGTTAGATAGTTTTCTTCTGTTAGATAGAGAACGAGATAAATGCCCTGTTTGGAGATGATTATTTATCTGAGCACTTAACCTGAGATAGTCTCCATCTGTGTTGTGAGTTTTCCTTGCACGTCAGTAGAGTAAATTACACTTTCATAAGGCAAGCAGCAGTAGAAGTTGCTTAGAGGATGTACTTTTTTGAAGGGTAGTCTTGAACTGGATATTTGCAGGGACTGATAAGTTACAGCTGAATCCAGGTGGGTCCCAGTGACTCCATTCCTGTGGTTCTTTAGACTGGACTTCCCCCAGTATTTACAGTTGCTCTGCCTTCTGGCTTTTACACTTGTAATACGAGTTTTAATCCTGTAATACAAGAACAAAACCCAACCTTCAGAATTTCTATATTTACAATATTCTTGTAAAGCTCGGATTAAGGAGCCTTGGTTTTTCCTTAGTTTATCATTGCAACATGAGGTGTTTGTACTTCCAAATTCAGTCTGGGATGGTGTCTGAAGCCAGTGTGAAGTATTTATCACAGCCTGTTAGGATCAGTAGGAGTGAAAATACTGTAGTCTTTACAGTTTTTCTTCTCTGTGTTCTGCCTGAAAGTTGTCCAACTGAATTTGTAGATTGTTGTTGCACTTCATACAACTGCCAGATTCCCTGGCTTACTCTGAAATCTTGTTAGAAGCCAATTGTGTGTGTCAGAGTGGATCATGAGCAGCTTTTTACTATCACTGCCTCAACAGCAAGCACGGACTTGGAATGGTTGAGTAACATCTCAGATTTAAGCTTTTCCACGTTGCTGTCATCTTAAGTGCTGTATAATTGAGTTTATTGCTGTCTACTATTGGAAGCATTCTTTAAAAGAGAAGGTGACTTTGTTTTACCTAGAATAATAAAGAAATAGAACATAGTTTTCAGGTTTAAAAAAAAAAAATCTTTCATGGAGAATTTAAAAAAAAAAATCCTTAGTCATTTCTGGTTCTTACTGACCTGCATGGCAAAACACAAGCTTTGTTAGTCAGCAATGTCTTTCCAGGGAAGAGTCTTGAAGACATTGTGTAGTACTTAAAAAAAAAAAAATAAATAAAAATAAAAAAATAATAAATAAAGCATACAACCTGAAAAGTGATTGCGTTACAGAATGCTGGTCTCCTTAGAAGGTGTTTTATCCCAAAACTGTCGGGAGTTGTCCAAGAATCTCCCTCATTGTATTCTGATGCTAGAGATTTGAAACCTGAAAGGTTTTCTTCAAAGAGCTTCCGAATGCCCACAGTGAGTTGGAAGGAAGCAACAGCTGCAAAGGAAACAGCAAAAAAGATTATGAAGTCTGTTGTGTAAAAGAGCTTGTAGTGATTAAACCAATAAGATCTGTAGTCAAAGTCCGATGTGGTTCGTTTTTCATTAACAATTGGCACAGACTCACTATGCAGCAAATGTGGGACTCTTAAATGGTGTGTTTGTTTAAATTCATCGCCTCCTTGGAGCTGAGTCTATTATTTGATCATTCCAAGCAGAATGTCAGTTCTTCTAAAGGATTGTTTCTTCACCTCATTTCAAAGTTTCAGCTGGTGTGATTCCAATGTTTTCTCTAATTTTCAGCTACAGACAGCTGTAGAGGAGGCAGTTCTTACTGGCTGAAACAGGCAAGGGGTTGCCTTTCAGTTTCACTAAGCACATGCTCATGTTTTGTGTTTCTATTTTGTATGGATAGATAAACATTGATGCTTTAAGACTCTTCTGTTAAAGTAATCAAGTGATCTTTGCAGTGTTGTCTTATGTGCAAGTGTTACAAATTGCTGAGGTTTATTTTCATGCAGTTGTTTAACCAGTACTTCCAGCTCCAGGAATCAACAAGGCATCATCTATTTAATTTTTTAAATCCCACACTGTGTAGACTGTTGGAAATTCATTCAAAACTCTCTCCTGAATAAATTGATTGAACTGATTGTCGAATTCCCTGCACGTGCAAGTATTATTTGAGCAAATTAGTGGTGCTGTATTTGAAAGGGAAAAGGTCCAGGCTTTGTAATAGTTCTTTTTACTAAGATTGTGATTAACAGATAGAAGTCTTAATGCAATGCTTCCTCTAAATGCAAGCAGTAGAAGTTACTCTTCCATGTTTTTTTAAACTATATTTTAATGTGCTTTCACTGTTTTATGGATATGCAGTTTGATTTGAAAATTATAATTCAGTGCTTCTGTTATTAGAGGGATGAATATGACAAATGTGGAGAAAGTGAGTTAAATCAAGGAGAAATAATCTTATGAGGGATCATCTGCAAACAAAGATTGGGAGGCTTATATAAAGGAAAGCTGTCTGAACTACAACTACATGAAACTTCACTAATATATGCATACAGCTCTGTGCTTTTGGGTTTGGGTGGATTCTTAACTGCAGCTCTGGAGGCTTATCAATACACCGCATGTTCAGCATTTAAATGAAATACAGCCAAAAAATTGTGAGATGCAGCATATTTGTGGTATTTATATCCCTCAGTTGTGTATGAAAGAATGTAGTTAGAAAGTGGTCCCCAGGTAATGCTGGTATTGCTTCCTGGAGCCTTTTACCTAAGATGTAGTTAAGGATTATTAATGGTCCTCTTTTGGCACCTGATCAAAAAGCTGGTAGTTTGGGTCAGCAGTGTATTGCTGTTCCGCTGCTTTCCTCCCCATTGCCTTTACTCTTCTAGTATTACTACTGACTTCTTTCTGTTCCATTGTTGTCCTGTTGTTCAAGCCACAGATTCTCAAATATTGTTTCTTATTGAAGTTCATGCAATCAAGTTCTGAATTTTAAGATTTCAGTGTTTTGAGGATTTCAGCCTGTTTGTTCAAATGTATTTTTGCTTTGGTCCTGCATTGACAGTAAGGTACAGTGTTTATAACCTTACCATTTGCTCTATTTGCAATCAGATATCCAGTCTTCAGTTGTGATAGATAGAAGAAACTAATTTCTAATTACTAATATTAACTTGCAACTCTGTGTGGATTGCGAGTCAGATCGTACCTCCAAGTAAGAAAGCTCTTGAGCAGAAAACTTTTAGAGAGATCCTGAATGGATGACTTCATCTCTTTTCTGTAGGGGAAGTTTGATGTATTAGGAGGAGATATTTGTGATATTTTTTTCCTTATGCAATTACTTAAAAGCTCAGGTGAAAACTCACATAAACTGAATTCATGTGTTGTAATTTGATATATGTATTTATTGGAAAAGCTAAAGAAGTGGACTCTGAGGTTTTTTGTTCTACTTCCTCCCCCCACCCCCCCGCTGGCATCTTCTACGTAATTTATCCTTTCCAGTGATATGTGCAATAATTATTTTGGCTAATCACATACCTCTGTTATCTAGTTACTC